CAGGATCCCGTCAGCTCCATGATCCAGGTGATGATTCCTTGATCCGTCAGCTCCATGATCAGGTGATGACTCGTCAGCTCCATGATCCAGGTGATGACCGTCAGCTCCATGATCCAGGTGATGATGATCGTCCAGCTCCATGATCCAGGTCATGCCATCAGCTCCATGATCCAGGTGATGTCCGTCAGCTCCATGATCCAGGTGATGTCCATCAGCTCCATGATCCAGGTGATCCCGTCAGCTCCATGATCCAGGTGATCAGCTCCATGATCCAGGTCATCTCCATGATCCAGATGATGTCCATCAGCTCCATGATCCAGGTCATGTCCATCAGCCCCATGATCCAGGTCATGTCCATCAGCTCCATGATCCAGGTCATGTCCATCAGCTCCATGATCCAGGTCATGTCCATCAGCTCCATGATCCAGGTCATGTCCATCAGCTCCATGATCCAGGTAATGTCCATCAGCTCCATGATCCAGGTGATGACCGTCAGCTCCATGATCCAGGTAATGTCCATCAGCTCCATGATCCAGGTGATGACCATCAGCTCCATGATCCAAGTGATGTCCATCAGCTCTATGATCTAAGTGATGAGCCCATGATCAGTGATGACCGTCAGCTCAGTGATCCAGATCATGACCGTCAGCTCCATGATCTAACTGATGACCGTCAGCTCCATGATCTAGGTGATGACCGTCAGCTCAGTGATCCAGGTCATGACCGTCAGCTCCATTATCCAGGTCCATGATCCAGGGGATGCACTTCAGCTCCTTGATCCAGGTAATGTCCATCAGCTCCATGATCTAGGTGATGCACTTCGGCTCCATGATCCAGGTGATGTCCACCAGCTACATGATCCAGGTGATGACCGTCAGCTCCATTATCCAGCTCCATGATCAAGGTGATGCCCTTCGGCTCCATGATCCAGGTGATGTCCATCAGCTACATGATCCAGGTGATGACCGTCAGCTCCATTATCCAGCTCCATGATCCAGATGATGCCCTTCGGCTCCATGATCCAGGTGATGTCCATCAGCTACATGATCCGGGTGATGACCGTCAGCTCCATGATCCAGGTGGTGTTAGTGCGGCCCGTCAACTACTCTGCCCAGACTATGTTCGTGCGGCCCCATCAGTCAGCTACTAAATACTCCTTACATGAAGGCATTATTGATCAATACATCAGCTGGCTGTGAAGAAGATGAAGAGCAGCATCGCCGATCTAAGGGAGATATTCCTGTGATTAAGTCGACTACGAGCGCTATGGCGACTGACATCAACCTGCCCGACTAACCACCTGGTCACGGGGAGATAAAGGAGCTCCATGTAACTGCTATTTTCTGCCAAATACACAAACAAAAAAAACAAATCTACATCCTTACTAGACTAGACTATAAATTTTAGTACACTAACACTTAATCTATAACCAAATGTATATAATTTTCATTATAACTGATAACTCCTTTAAAATTGATATGGAGCCTCAATTAGCTGGCAGCTTTGCTTCGTGTTTGGTCATTCGTATTTCAGAAGGGCTAGTCGGTAGGGCAAGATAGCATCGTACAGAGATCTGGATACAGATATGGTTTCCCGGTTCAGCTGTACACAGATGGATTTTTCTGTGCATCATCACGGGTTTAAGCACATATGTGTTCTTACACATGGGAATTCCGGAACTGAAGGTTCACAATGCTTAACGTGGAGGTAACGTACTTAATGATGGTTACAATTTACGGCCTTAACTCGCACGTACAGTCACTCGTGCAGTCAAATACGTTTCCTGGGCGGTGGAGCTAGCGGTGGGGTCGCCGAGTGGTTAAAGCGTTCGCTAGGCACGCCAAAGACCCGGGTTCAATTTCCTACATGGGTACAATGTGTGAAGCCCATTTCTAGTATCCCCGCCATGATATTGCTCAAATATTGCTAAATGCGGCGTCAAACCAAACTCACTCCATTGCTGGACCTTGGTTATTTATGAGACAGCGCTATACAGCTGACTGCGGCTAAAATACAGTAACCTCTATGTTTATTCTCCTTTCAAACACAACCTTGATGAGGAGAGGCTCTTCAATAGTTTACATGAATGATGTATAGACCCTGACTAAAATATACAATGTTTTTGTTCAGTGTGAACAATGCCATAGCCTATTTTTCGATACAGCCAGGAATGTCCCGCAATGTCAACCCGCTTTGTTTCGTACTGTAAACACAAGATAACCATTGAAGACCTGGAGGTGTTGTTGGAGTAAGACTAACACTTGGCCTGGCATCTGAATGGTTGTTGGTCGATAATCCTTGCTGCGTGTACTATCGTTAAGCGAGTTGGCTAATGTTAAACACCGCCGTCAGCAGTAAACTGTATATTTATCTCTCTGGTTCTGATCTGAGCATATCCGCTTACGTATACGTCGTCCGACATCCTCAGATGGGTGCGGTGTGTTTTGCTTCCACGGTCCCGTAGTATTACAGACACGTGAAGATCCGGGTTAGAATCTTGATCTTCAGTAACCCATGTTTGTCGTAAGAGGCGAGTAACGGGATCAGGTGGTCAAGCTCGCTGACTTGGTTGACACCTGTCATCGGTTCCCAATGGCGCAGATCGATGTTCATGCCGTCGATCACTGGATTGTCTGGGCCAGACTCGATTATATACCGACCGCCGCCATATAGCTGGAATATTGCTGATTGCGGCGTAAAACTAAACTCACTCACTCATCCGTAATATTACAATGGCCAGCTGGAGCATACGGTACAGCTATTGTACCCAAGTACCGCGGTATAGAGTCTCGTCCTGGTTCCTGTTGATATCCACAGCGGACATGCACGCACTCTATTAAGGAGAGTTAGCATGCGTTTCCTGAACACTCATGGCTCGCCCCGTGTGCAACTGCTAAATATACCGCTGGTTTTGAATGGCCCTGAATTACTACTTGTATTGTGAATTCAACGTCTAAAACCTACATCACTCCCAGGCGTACAAACATTAAATACTGATCCCACGAACGAGCAATATATTCTGCCCAGGACTCCAATACAAGACGGACTAGCGTTAGACATACTAGGGACCAATATATTCTGCCCCGGAATCCAATACAAGACGGACTAGCGTTAGACATACTAGGGACCAATATATTCTGCCCCGGAATCCAATACAAGACGGACTAGCGTTAGACATACTAGGGACCAATATATTATGCCCCGGAATCCAATACAAGACGGACTAGCGTTAGACATACTAGGGACCAATATATTCTGCCCCGGAATCCAATACAAGACAGACTAGCGTTAGACATACTAGGGACCAATATATTCTGCCCCGGACTCAAGACGGACTAGCGTTAATACATGACGGACTAGCGTTAGACATACTAGGGACCAATATATTCTGCCCCGGAATCCAATACAAGACGGACTAGCGTCAGACATACTAGGGACCAATATATTCTGCCCCGGAATCCAATACAAGACGGACTAGCGTTAGACATACTAGGGACCAATATATTATGCCCCGGAATCCAATACAAGACGGACTACCGTCAGACATACTAGGGACCAATATAGTATGCCCCGGACTCCAATACATGACGGACTAGCGTTAGACATACTAGGAACCAATATATTCTGCCCCGGACTCCAATACAAGACGGACTACCGTCAGACATACTAGGGACCAATATATTCTGCCCCGGAATCCAATACAAGACGGACTAGCGTTAGACATACTAGGGACCAATATATTCTGCCCCGGAATCCAATACAAGACGGACTACCGTCAGACATACTAGGGACCAATATATTCTACCCCGGAATCCAATACAAGACGGACTAGCGTTAGACATACTTGGGACCTATATATTCTGCCCCAGAATCCAAACAAAGGGAACATGTCTACTCGGGACGTATACTGATCACCTGACTCGTCTTGAGGAGGACGAGTATGATATATATTTGGGATCTATAAATTTTGCCATAGAATCCCGACAAACGTTAGGCTACAGGGACCTGTTCTATACCGGCATCCTAGGGCCGGCCAAGCATTGAATGTTTGTGGTGATCTGATGTGAAATAGTGTGTGCGAGCGTGTTTGCGTGCGTGTGTGTGGTTGCTTTTACACGTTTTGACTTAGGCCGCTTTGATAGCACTACCCTACCATGACGCACTAGCATGGCTGTCCCACTCATGCATGCACTATGCTGACTCCATGCCGGCCCATCCTTCTTTTAGTCCTTAATGCCGAGCGCCAGGTAGGGTAACCTACAACAGAGATCCATGAGTGTGAGTGACTTTAGTTTTACGCCGCTTTTAGCAATATTCCAGCAGTATCAAGGCGGGGGACACCAGAAATGGGCTTCACTCGTAGTACCGACATGGGGTGAGGTGAGGTGAAATTGGTTTTTACGTCGTGCTTGAGAATATTTCGCTCATATGACGACGTGCATGCATGTGTATGTGTATGTGCGGCTGCTTGTACTAGCCCAGACTGAAGCTGGTTTTATAGTGCTAGCCCACTGAGATACCATGCCGCAGTGAAGCATGAATACCCCACTCAGACACATTATACTGACTCCGAGCCGACCAGTCCTTGTTGTACCCATTAATGCCGAGCACCAGGCAGGGACCAACAAGTACCATATTTTAACGTCTTTTGGTATGACGCGGTCGGGGATCGAACCCGCGACCTTCCGCTCTCCGGGCGGACGCTCTAACCACTACACCACGGAGGCGGTTAGTACCCACATGGGGAATTGAACCCGGGTCTTCGGCGTGACGAGCGAAGGTCTTAACTACTAGGTACCCCACCGCCCCCAGAGATCCAGGGGCAAGGTTCAGGGACAGTACATAAACGTACTGGGCCAAGTTCTGATGTTGGTTTGCTTGCTCCAAGCTTAATAGGGAACTAGTGTGACACTCAGATAGTACTGATGGTAACTAGTAAAATGTCGTCACGCCCAGTTGGCTCACTCAATCATTCCGTGTAAAAACGAATAATAACTGAAGACAAACGATCTATTTATTCAACGTTGAGAGGATTGCTAAAGCTTGGGCGATTCCTGCACCTTCTTCACGACGAGGTCAAGCAGTTCATGGAACACGCCTGTCATAAAGTGTCCTCGGTCCTCAAACTTGTACAGTTCGGGACTGAGCCCCTCAACCACCTTGCTCTGTTCCTCATCCCAAGAAAGGAACGGGTCATCTGTGGAACCGAACTGCACAATGAAACCGGCGTTAGCTCGTATTTTCTCCCACTCCCATGGTCTACTGTAGTAGCCGCTTGCCCTCTCGTTGGCGTCCCCGAGGTCAGTGACGCAAGCCGACACCAACACTATGCCCTTGACTTTGTACGTCTCACAGTACCTCATGGCTGCTTCGGCCCCAGAACTGTGTCCAACAATGATGGTCGTGTGGTCACATTTGAGTTCATCGTGCATGAAAGGGATCCAAGCACTCTCCCGTGCTACATACGGATCAGGCATGCTTCTCAGTTCACAGGTTATACCCTTCTTGTTGAGCTCGTGGTACAGCCAGCCATACCAGTTGGCGTTGAATACCGCATCACAGCCGTTCCCAGGTACTATCACCACTCGTAGGGACATCTGTGGTCTGTTCAAGAAAAGCAAAAAAAGCGTTAGACACAATCGCCCCATCAATGGGAATCACAAAGTAAACACTAAGGTTTTGAGGGTGAGTGAGTGTAGTTTTACTCCGCTGTTAGCAATATTCCAGTAATATCACGGTGAGGACACCAGAAATAGACTTCACACATTGTAGCCGTGTGGGAAACAGAACCCGGGCCTTCAGTGTGATGACGAGAGAGCGCTTTAACCTCTAGGCTACCCCGTCGACCAGTTACTTAGGGGTGGGCGATTTGGTGGGGCGCTACCGATGACCCCGTCATACATAATGCGCTGCAATTCATCGTGCAGGGTTTCTGTCCCAAGGTTTCAGAAACCTTTGATCATGGGTTCATCTCTTACTTGGCACTCATAATGGGGGCAGTGGGGTAGCCTAGTGGTTAAAGCGTTCGCTCGTCACGCCGAGGACCCGGGTTCGATTTCCCACATGGGTACAACGTGTGAAGCCCATTTCTGGTGTCCCCCGCCGTGATATTGCTGGAATATTGCTAAAAGCGGCGTAAAACCAAACTCACTCACTCACTCACTGATAATGATCCTTCGTTTGTCAGAACCATCTACATACTCGTGGGTTTCAGTGGTAGACATCCGAGCCCTGTACCACTTCGTGTTTTTCTCCCACTTTAAACTTAATCGCGTTACGTTTCTTTAAAGTAAATATAGTAGTAGCAATGTTTTCATCCAAGTGAGTGAAAGAGTTTAGTTTTACGCCGCTTTTAGCAATATTCCAGCAATATCACGGCGGAGGACACCAGAAATGGGCTTTACACGTTGTACGCATGTGGGGAATCGAACCCGGGTCTTCGGTGTGACGAACATCAACATTACTTTGTGGACATAAATAAAGCGGAGGTCATATCGGAGTTGAACTAGAAACACTGCTTACAGAACAACACAAAAAAGCATGATATACATTGAAGTGAACATATTGTTGATATTTTAAATGTTACATTTCAGATTATTCGTATTGTCATTATCAGCAGTATCAGTAACCGCTGCTCTCAGGAACATCCCTGTTGTACGATGGCGATCTGTAAATAGCTTGACTGCTATCATCAACACTGAGGTGAGGTGAATTGTGTTCTATACATGGAGTTCAAGATCACTGCACATACGGAACGACCTACGTGCATGTATAGTGAGTGAGTGAGTTTAGTTTTACGCCACACTCAGCAATATTCCAGCTATAAGGCGGCGGTCTATAAATAATCGGGTCTGGACCAGACAATCCAGGGATCAACAGCATGAACATCGTTCTACGCAATTGGGATACGAAGACATAGGTCAACCACGTCAGCGACCTTGAACACCCGGTCCCGTTAGTCACCTCTTAAGACAAGCATGGGTAACTGAAGATCAATTCTAACCCGGATTTTCACGGGTCACGTGCATGTATATGTGTTAGTGTGAGACGATTGTAATAATCTGGGCATGATTTTGTACATCTTTGTGAAACGGGCCCCTGGACTTCGCCGGGCCCACCAACCTACTGAGATACCGTGCCGCAGTTTAACATGAATACCCCAATCAGACCCAATATACCGACCCCAAGTTGGTCAGTCCTGGTTTTATCCCATATGCCCAGCACCAGGCAGAGTAACAACAAGTATCTTCTTTCTATGTCACCCGTGAAGATCCGGGTTAGAATTGATCTTCAGTAAGCCATGCATGCTTGTCGTAAGAGGCGACTAACGGGATCGGGTGGTCAGGCTCGCCGACTTGGTTGACACGTCATCATATCCCGATTGCGTAGATCATGCTCTTGATGTTGATCCCTGGGTTGTCTGGTCCAGACTCGATTATTTACAGACCGCCGCCATATAGCTGGAATATTGCTGAGTGCGGCGTAAAACTAAATTCACTCACTCACTCTTTCTATGTCAATGACAGGCAATCAACTAAGTTACTGATCCTGACAACGCAATCCATTAAGTCGCCTCTAACAACCAGCATTATGTTCTTACCCGGAATCCCAGGGATTTCATTGATTAGATGAACGTCACAGGACACAGCGGGGCGGACATGCTCATTAACCAAGCAGCATAGGGCATACTTCCGGTACAGTACATGCCGCAGTTACTGTATGTATGATAATGTCGTTATCAGGTAATGAGGGCCTGCCATGCTTGGTTGGGTTTATAAAATTAGATAATAATTTACAGGGTGATTATACGAGCTTGGAATAATCAAATATTTCCGTATAAATTTTTTCAGTTATTTTGCTTACTTACTTTCATCCTTGATTTAATCTTCTCTGGGATGATGTTTTGAATGAGTGAGTGAATATGGTTTTACGCCGCTTTAAGCAGTATTCCAGCAATATCACGGCGGCTTCTAGATGGGGTGATGCAGGGGTGCGCACCCCACCCCCAACCCCCCGCTTTTGTCCTGAAAGTTTATTTAATGACATTTGAAACTCTCGTGAAAACGGAGGTGTAAATGAAGTGTGCACCCCCTTTCTCAAGAGTGTGCACCCCCCTTTCTTAAAAAGCTGTATCCGTCCCTGCATTGTACCCATGTGGAGAATCGCACCCGGATTATGTTTTTGATACCGGAGTATCAATATGTGTTTAGGAAATACTAGTAGTCATCACGCGTTGGGGAAAGTGTTTCGTCATTACATTGTGACTTGGTTTGCAGAGAAATCGGTGCAGCTAAGTGGTCACAAATATCTTAGTCTTGTGTCAGCGTTAATTATAATTGCCAAATGAACTTTTAAAACTCAGAATTTTATTCAACTTGGGATAACAGTTGTTTAACAAACGATCATAGTTTCAAATCGATATCGTTGGTTTGTATTACAAGGGGGTAAGCGCAGTAGTTGGAACAGTGAAACAAATGCACGTGCGGTGCGTGATGAGCGTTAACTTAGACCAACCCTACTTGTTCTCGGTGTTTCATTTGATGTGCATACACCCTTGTAATACAAACCAATAATGGCGATTTGAAACTATGATCGTTTGTTAATCAAATTTTATCCCAAGTTGAATAAAATTCTGAGATTTTAATGTTCAATTGGCAAGGTAAAGTTATGAGTATTCGCAATCATAATTTCACTTTATTTCGTTTACTTTTTAGTTTAAAGTGAAATTCATCGGTACGTTTTCACTGTAAACAGACTTTAGGTGATTTGAAATTGTGTCAGGCATCCAAATTAGGTCGTCCGGGTATACACCGAGAAATTGGCATTTAGTGGAAATGGCCCCAGTATAAGATTATCATGGTAAATCACACCTGACGGGTTGGAATATAGGACGTCCCATATACGCCCATTATATTAGACAGAGACAGTGGGTCAACGTGACATCTGCCATGTCACGGTGTGTTTAAGATTTGACCTCCTTTGGGAGGAAAATATTATACTGGGGACATTTGACAGACCTAGAGATTCTAGAGACTGTGAAATAGGGAATTTCGGGGGTTAGGGTGGGGGTGTTAATATAAAGGTCATGGTGATTTAAACTATGAACAGAGGTTATTCAGAATGCAAGTAATAACTCCCTGAACGTGAATAAATGGTTGAATAATGGAGTGCATCGACAGTGGCAACGTATGTGGTGACATCAATAATTTATATTAATAATATAATTATTTAATAGCTGTCCAAATATCCATGGTCCTACCAGGTCCTTATGCATCCATCCGTGAAGATCCGGGTTAGAATGTGCCTTCAGTAACCATGCAATGCTTGTCGTAAGAGGCCACTATCGGGATCGGGTGGTCAGGCTCGCTGACTTGGTTGACATATGACATCGGTTCCCAATTGCGCAGATCGATGCTCATTGCTGATCACTGGATTGTCTGGTCCAGACTCGATTATTTACAGACCGCCGCCATATAGCTGAGCGTGGCGTAAAACTAAACTCACTCACTCACCTTGTGTATCCTTGTGGGGGGCCTTCCCTTTAAATCGCCTGTGATGAGCCTGTAATAGAAATAATAAGGTACAAGTATTACAGGGGCGATCGTCAATGTTCGTAAATGGCTATGTGTGCAAAATGTACAAAACACATATACTATGATACAGATACCATATGTAACATTGTTCAAAATCAGGTATTTAAACGATTTGAACAAAAAAAGATATATTTAGAAATGAACATTTACAATGTCCAATGAACATAGATAATTATATGAAATATTGCAGGATACAATTGCTGAAAAATGTACTGGTCACAATGCATGTGAAAACACATATTTTCGACCACGTGGAAATATTGTCAAGCCACGCCCATTCCGTTTAGCTATCGCCGCACAGCACTATATACCCCCAGACACCAAATACATGTGTCACTGTCATGCAATGATTTGAGCAGCAGTCGATCTATAAGGCGTACAGTAGCTATAGTGGGAACCTCACAAAAATAACCAGCAATTAAATTGATTACCAGTCTCTGTTTGTAGTAAGATTCGTAGTACGCTTGTGTGTGAATGAAAACACATGCGCGCGCACCCGCCAATGTACAATGAATCTTGGGATACCTTGATGGACTGGCAAGTCCGCCATGATGAAACACGAAAATCGTAGAAAATATACTGGGTTTGCGGACTTTGGGTAAACTAGGGCGACGTTCTAGTGCTAGATTTAGACCTTCGGCAAAATGTATTGACACTATCGTTTGTTTTCAGTGTGGTAGAGTCCGCAATTGAGGGCTCTAACCGTCACTTTGTACGAAAACTTCCTTGAACAGGCTCATTAGCATATCTAGGGTGGCAAGATGAGCAAGGTATCGTTTAGGGCTCGGGCGCTGGACGCCACGAAGCCCATGCCTGTTTTCAGGGCGGATGAGATACCTGATCTACCTGATTTTGCAACGATCAACAGATCTGTACCTCTGATGCCGACTGGAATGGAAAAAGAAGAGGAAACGGTACGTTGCCTTTGTTTAGAGCAACCGGAATTTGTGATTGGCCGCCATCTTGGTGGCGCGCACTTTACCTAGATTCATTCGAAAGGGACATTATGAGGCGATTGCGCTACTTATTGATGTTGTTGCTGCATTTCATGGATATCGTTGTGTTCATGACTCTGAAAATATTGCCAGGAAACGTCCAGTCTTTGTCTGTGAAGCATTATTTTGTCCACTAAGTCACGTGACATCAAGCGCCATATTTAGACAGTAGTGACGATACGATGCGAACTTGGTGTGTGTCAAAATTTCATCTCGTCGGAAAAGTACAAAAACTGACAACATTGTCGGCTGATGTGGACCCCCTTTGTCATTTAGAACTTGTTGTTATGGACAAATAAACTGAAATAACTCACCAGGTTACAAGTAAACCAAGTTTTGTCTTATCTGGGTCAAGGGAATCCCTGCAATATATTGGGGATTCCCCTTTTGAACTTCTGCCAAATATTTTGCAATATTGCAGTGTCTTTAACACATTTTAGACCTAATAGTATTAAAATCTCATTAGCTATCTATTTCTTGTTTTTTATTTTCGTAATTGTTTGTTGTAGACTTGCGGTAATGATCGATGCTTCAGTTGTGCACCCATTCAATCTTCTTGCACATTTTTAGTGAATTGATGTTCAATTTCTTACCCTGGGGCATATATGTTGCAGCTAGAAAATAACATGTTCAGTTTGTTTGTGTACACCGTGCATATAACCATAAGCTACACGTATCTGTATTACAGTCAAAACACATGATTGGTTCAGTGTGAGTGTTATCGTGTTGTGACATCAGTTAAACCAATTTTGGACTTCATATGTTGCAGTGTTCACGGTTGGAGTAAACCTTGGACTGTAGAAAGCATGATAATTAATGTTGCTGTCTTAGGTGTAGTAAAAACTAAACAGACAGTATCTTCAGCTGATCATAGACAAACACACACACACACACACATATATATACGTTGGAAAACCTGCTTGAACATACTTTGAATTCTTTCAAGTTTATTCCTTTCACACTTTGTTCAACAGAGGCATCATTGTACTGAATATTTGAAGTGTCTTTTGAGTTCATTTTGTGTCAATTCCTGAATAATGTTTGCCAGTGGGTGCTGATATTACAGTCATGGTGCACGGTTGCTACTTATTATGCTTATTTTGATTTTTGAGGCAATCAGCATAACATGATAATATGTCATTTTTGACATTCAGTGAACATAGGTTGCACACATTGTGTTTACTACATCATTCATTGTTAAAAAAGAACAACCAGTGACCAGTAAAGCCGACACTATACATGTCTGGTTCTTCTCATAGAGAAGCAATAATAAGGGGTTTTCTTTCATATTTTTAAGGAGTTGTGTAATGCATTAGTCATAGGTGAGCCAAGACCGGTGTATGTGGTTTGTGGTAGATGCCTTCTTCATGCCAACCCTCCAGTTGTGATCCCAGTATCAATATTATTCACTCTGTGTATGCAACAGTTGCTGAGTCGGGAATGTAATCGTTGTCTTTAAGTATATAATCAACCTGGACTATTCATGGATTTTAACTTGAAAGAAAAGTAAAAGAAACAAATGTGTCCATTGACTGTTTGCAACCAGTTTCCACTACAGAATGTGTCTGTTGTACGTGCATTGTGTCCATGGCAACTTCTAACAGAATACAAACTAACAAATTGAAGACTGAATGCAATCTGTTGTGGTACTTGTTGCAATGCACAAATCCTTATTACAAAGAAAAACAATACCAAATTCAAGCCAATAACCATCACTTTGTCTGGTCATGTTAGAAATACAGAGCTTTCATGTCACTAAGATTTATCCTACTCTTTTATAATTTAATTTTTAACTGTAAATGGAGAAAACTTGCTTAATTTGGTCTGATTGCTATCAATTTCCAGTGTTTGAAATATGTGCTTGCCTGACAGTCTGAGACCGCCACTTTTGTCCCAAACTGCGAATTTATGCATGCAAGTTTCTTACGTTCTCTTTTCACATTTCGTTACAGAAAAGTATGCATACTTATACCATGGGTGGCATTTAGATAATGACCCAGCTTAAATGTTTCTGAAAACAAGCCATATGTTTTTTATGTATGGATCAGTGATCTTAATTTTATCAGTACTTTTGGTTTGTTGTTGAGTCCAGAGTAAGAAAAATTATGACTGACAACATTTAAAACAGTTGATAGTTCAACTGTGTGGTTTGAATTTATCAAAATCTTAGACAATAGTAATTGCTACTTTGATAGGGGTACAATACATGTTTGCAGAAACACTTCCACAGATACAAAGTATATGAGTTTCTACTTGAATTTTATACTGACATTTACTGTTGATGTTCATTGTTGAGAGTTTTGGTAGTCTTTGCCACATTATTGGAAACTGATTGACAAAACTCTTTATATATAATATTTTGTATGATTTACCACTTTTGAAAGGCTACATTTGATATACATTTCCAAGTTGTAATGAGTCACCATCTCTGAATGAAAACTTAAGTTGTCTCACCAACGTCATCTGGAAAAAGAAATATAATTCATAAGGATGATTTAGTGTTTGTGACTACTAGCCACCTTCATGGATTATGAAGCTTTTGTGTAAATTTCTACCATTGTGGTAACAATCATCTTTACTTTATTTAGTCATTAACATCTATTTGCCTGAATTGTCACAATATATTTGTCAAGTACTTGTTTAGTGTTCTTGAAAGAAACCCAAGATGCATAAAAATAATTTAGGTAGCCCTCTCCTCCTTGTAAGAAGCAGGATGATGCCCTTAAAATATTACTTGCGCCATGATCTGCCTCAATTATGATCCTTTGTCTATTTGAATCCACACATTGCAATAACAGTGGGGAGGTTGATAATTTGCATTTTCTTAGCACACCAATGAAACCTATATTCTCACCAATGCAGCATTTAACCCTAAGTTGTAACCAACATTTAAAGAATTTGCTTGTCAAGCCTAGGCAACTTAGGTTCAGAACTAGATTCCAGTAAGAAAACAGCTAGTCCCTCTGATCAATGGGAGACTCCAACCCTTCCTTGAAAGCTGCCTTATGCAGGTGTAGCAGTACAGTAAGAAATCAAGTGGTTGCGTATTGTTCATAACATGGTTATGATATAAAACAATATAATATACTTCCTTTCAAAAGTTTAGACTCAGTAGTGTAAAAATAGCCATTTACTTCAGGCAGCTGTTCTAAACTATATTTCGCAAAATATTCCATACTGTTTAAAGGTCCTGTTTACACGTGAACTGATGTATTGTAAAGCAAATTCGTAACATTGAAAAGATTATTGTCATGAGTTCAATAAATTATAAAAAGCGATGAAAATTGGCGAATTCTTAAAACTTGACACCAAAATGCAGCTGTTCACATGCACAATATTTGCACATGCCTTTCAGCAATTTGATGCATGATCCTCGTGCAATTCATCTGCATAAGGTTTGTAGTTGGTTCCCCCAAGTTTGTGGAGAAATCAGTAAAAATCCATAAAATATAGTGAGTGTTTTAAGTGAGTCTAAACTTTTTGACAGGAAGTATATAAACAAATGTCACGGTACATTAGCAACTTGAAGTCATTACTTCTGATCATCACTCTTTTATGACTTCTGGGACTTAAAACAGTAGTGAGTTATCACAAACAAATTTACATCTTGTTTTCTTGCATCAAACTATCAATGACTTCCATTTGTTCATTGAAAGTATTGATAGAGGCACTGACATGGAAATAAGTAATGTCTACCATTTACTTTTCCATCAGTTTGATTCGAATACACCTTGTTTGACGATGCAATATTCGTTCAGAAAAGCTCGTTATTTATGGGGGTAACCTTCTTTGATGGCTTCATCAGGTGGACAGTGAAGATACTCTCACAAACCTACTGCAACATTTGTACCCATATTGCAATACATTCACAAATTGTATGCTTCGCGATTGCTATACTGTAACAATGGTGAAAACAAATACCTGTGTAGCCACACTAACATGTCTGCAACCTCAACATTCAATCTGAAAATTTTGAACTTGTTACTTCGCCTTTAAACGAATTTGAAGTTTGAAGTTTTAGGACTCTCCTACACAATAGTAATAAAATTGAACTGAACAGTGGATATAGTTCTATACCTCATGGTTTGCATTGGGCTGACACACACATGGTTGTGATGTGATTACTTGAACAAGATCTGCAACATATTTTGTCACCAGTAAATGATTTATTATAGATCAAATATGATGTTAGTGAAATGAATGCTTGATTGGAAAATGTGCTTCATGGTTAAGAGCAACCATGATCAGATAGAGACCTTTGCTTATATATTAAAAAATCAGGAAAATATTTTTGGATATTATGTACCCCGGGAAAAGGGTTCTTGAGTTTTTGATATTAGTGATAGTGGTAAAAGGACTGTTTTTATGTGTAGTGTTAGCCTGTCAGGTGTCGCATGTGACCTGCAGTTTTCCATCATGGATGGGGTGGTGGGGTAGCCTAGTAGTTAAAGCCATGGCTCGTCACGCCGAAGACCCGGGTTCGAATCCCCACATGGGTACAATGTGTGAAGCCAATTTCTGGTGTCCCCCGCTGTGATGTTGCTGGAATATTGCTAAAAGCGGCGTAAAACCAAACTCAGTCAGTTCATCGTGGATTCCCATTAATGGCAGAGAACACTTGTACTTAAACAATGTTTAGACTGATACCTTAACTACAAACGACATTCACAACATGGGGATAACTTTGTGAAATAGGAGCCTAATCCCCAACACTTGATTTTTGTCTTAACAACTTAAGAAATGAGGTTGGATGTGTCCCTTTCTTGGTTCATTGAAGTGTCGGTGTACTCAAGCAGTTTGTCAAAATGGTATTCACTGTAGTTGGTTCAATGTCTCAGTGCCAGGTGTTGGCATGTAACTTTTCACTTTTGGACACTACACATACACACGGATATGTACTGCAGACATTTTTCATTATAACAATTCTTAACATGCTGTTTCGTGTTACTTTTGGAGCGGTGGGGTAGCCTAATGGTTAAAGCGTCCGCTCGTCATGCCGAAGACCCAGGATTGATTCCCCACATGGGTACAATGTGTGAAGCCCATTTCTTGTGTCCCCCATTGTGAAATTACTAAAAGCTGTGGAAAACAATTCTCTCACTCACCTCACTCCTGTTACTTATAATTGTCTTCCTTTCATGTGCTGCCCTAAATGTGTTCATTGTTGCATAAGCACACAACAGCAGTACATGGGTCAGTTGTAATCAGTGAGACGTCTTTTGTTCATTATTCACTGCAGTAAAGTTCATGTGCAGATGATGCATTTATCAGTAAATGTTGATAAACAAAGATGTTGGGTACAGCATCTGAAAGGCCTTCATAGGCTAAATTAAACACTGTTAAAGTAAATTACTCCAGATTTGCTTGTAAGAGGCGACAAACGGGATCAGGTGGTCAGGCTCACTGACTTGGTGGACACGTCATCATATCCCGATTACGTAGGTCATGCTCATGATGTTGATCACTGGATTGTTTGGTCCACACTTGATTATTTACAGATTGCTGCCATATAGTTGGAATATTGCTGAGTGCAGCATTAAACAACAAACCAACCCAACCCAACCCAACCAGATTTGATAAGGACCACACCATTTACTAAATACGACGTTTTGGTCCTGCCTGAGTAGTGTATCTGTGCAGGCTGTTTAAAAAACAAGTATGAGTATTTTGTTCACCAGCATCTCAATTGTCAATAATTGGGTTGTGATTGTTTATTTCGCATTCTTTATTACAAGGAGCTAATATGGAGCTTTGTATTGTCATAGTCAGTTAACAATTTTTAGATACAGACCACTAAATATAATTTCTGATCAGTCAGAGATTATGCAATTTCATATACAAAGACTAAAATCCACTGAAAATCAGGGTGGGGTTAGTATTTGGCTCGGGCTCTACCATATTTTGATAGGAATTCTCAGTTTTGTTGACTATCTTGGTTGTTTCTTTGTATTTTTTCTCTTCATTGTCTGCAGTGCAGAGTTGTCATATAATGACAAGCCAGAAACTAATGGTCATATGTTCATTTGGATTCTGTCTGACAATGTTTTGATTTTTGTTAGCACCCAACATCATGACTAACCAAAGAGATAAGCATAAACTCTTCTCCCACATCAGCCTAATGGTGATCTAACTAAAATTCTGTTCAAAGTGACCAATGTCATATCTCACTCACTAAACAGTTGCATCATAAAAATATTCAAACTGAAAGATGTATCAAGCAACTGCTTCTTTATTTGTCTGCCATTGACTTGGATAATTGTGTAACTGATGACAAATGTGTTGCCTGTGTAATTCAAACTACCAAGTAAATACCACAAGGTAGGAACTTCACTCTGTTGCTGCAACATTTAAGAAATTTTGTGGAATAAACAGATAATACTTATAAAAAATTCAAGACCCAATCAGGTATCCAACTCAATATTGTTATAATACATTGGATAGACAGATTGATAGAAAGTATTTGTTGATGTAGTTGGCTAGAGCCCATGGCTCTATCTGGACATCCCAGCAATTAGACAAAATGACTGCCCTCCCTCTCTCTCTCTTTGGCAGATCTGATCTATTTTTTTCTTTTTTCACTCATGCCCGTTCTCATCCCTGCACATCTGGTTAAAACATGGTTGCTCTCCAACTCATTAGTCATAAGCATTTGAGACACATGTCATCGGTTCCCAATTGCGCAGATTGATGCTCATGCTGCTGATCACTAGATTGTCTTGTCCAGACTCGATTATTTACAGACCGCCTCCATATAGCTGGAATATTGCTGAGTGCGGCGTAAAACTAAGCTCACTCACTCATAAGCATTTTAATTAAGCTGTATGTTGGACATTATAGGTATCTTAAAGGAATGCTTGAATAGTCAGTTTTATGGTTTCGTGTTAGTTGTGTCTTGCCAATATTATTTTTCTTCATGTATCGGTTTTTGCAACTAACACATCTATGCATAGTATTGTACGTACCAGTCTTAACCTAAGCTTGTATGATTGCAGGAGCACCATCTTCAGAGAGCCTTGTCCGCACAGCAGGTCTATGGGACATCTGAGGCACTGGTTATTCCTATTCCTGAAGTGGAAGATATTGCTGAGAAGTATGACCAATATTACAAGCAGGACTTCAAACTGGGGAAGCAGTACATCCACATTCAGGGTAGGAATACTACATTCATGCAGTAGGCAGTTTGTTTCACATAATCAGAACCTACTGATCACAACCCAGTACTAATTTACCTTATTGTATTATCTGATCTGAGTAGAAATTTCTGAAAATCTTAAGTGAATTTTTAGTTCATCTGACTAAAAGTCAAATGAAGTTATGTCTTGCCTACTTCTGCATTAGCATCTGTAAGCACCTTCCTGAAACCACTGGAACATAGAACCTGAAACTTCACAGGCTTGAACATAGAGATTTTTTCTGGGTTACATCTTCTTTTTATTCTCGAGTACAACGTTTCAGGGCCAGAACAAGCCCTGAAACGTTGTACTCGAGAATAAAAAGAAGATGTAACCCAGAAAAAATCTCTATGTTCATCAAATATCATCTTCTAAAATGCCAATCAAGCATCTAATTCACAGGCTTGTTCCACCCAATGTTGACACTGATTTTGTCAAGAGGTTCAAATGAATGAATAAAAGGATCCTACTAGACTACTTCCAAATTCTAGAGGTTTATCATGAATTCCAAACTATGTAGACTTGTCAAGAAAATTGCAAAAAGTCTTTAAGTATTTCATTCCTTAGATTCAGAGGTGTTTTCATAATGAAATTCACCAACTTCCTTAAGTGGCATTTAGAAGCTGGTATGATGAAGTGGAACACATTTATGGATAGACAACTTCTTTGTTGCAGTAGTATTTATTTGACGCGAAGTTTCGGTGTAGATCCTAACACCGTCATCATTTGCTTGATAAAGGTATCAGGATCTACACCGAAACGCTGCAACAAAGAAGTTGTCTATCCATAAAAGTGTTCCACTTCAAATTCACCAACATTATACTAAGCATTACTGCATTTGTGTCTCAAAATATATCTTCCTCTTATTTTTCTGGAGCGGTGGGGTAGCCTAGTGGTTGAAGAGTTGGCTCGTCACGCCAAAGATCCGGGTTCGATTCCACACAGGGGTACAATGTGTGAGGCCCATTTCTGGTGTCCCCTGTCGTGATATTGCTGGAATATTGCTAAAAGCGGCGTAAAACCATACTCACTCACTTTATTTTTCTCCTCTCTCTCCTAAAATAGTACATCTGTACTTGCAGACTTGAAAACTTGGCTACTGTGTGTGTTTTCTTAACAGTATATATGCAGAAAATGTTTAAATAATAATGCTGAGAGCAACTGTAGTTAGTGTTTCTTTAGCCTTTATAAGCTGTTGACCACATATCAAAGTGAGCTGCAATTCCATCGGAGTCCTTGTCTTTGAACAGAAGTAATTGCATTACATGCCTCTTACAGCATGTTTTAGTCTACTCATAAAAGTAAAATGCCTGTTTGAAATCTTGTTGTATGGACAGTAATATTTTATTGAAATGAATAACTGGGACTGTAAGTAGTACTATTCACACTTTATAAAAACACTTATAGAATAAGTGTTTTATCATGTCCAACTGAAAAAGGTGTATTTATAGACTATTTGAAACTGTTAATCTTAATAATGTATTCTGTGTTATGGAACTAAGTACATCAATAAACAATTGGAACACTAGTTTTTGCTGACAGTTAAAGGTGTGCAAATTAGAGATTACTCATACTGTTCTCAAATGGACAAGTGTGTTGTGATGTAAAAAACAAGAGATTCTTAAAATGTTTGAAGCAAATCATCACATTTTGAGATATTGCCAAAGTACCGTAAAACTGACCCTGACTTTGTTCTGACAGCGTTTGGTATGGACCAGGAAATACCAGACTATGACATGGACAGCGAGGACGAGGGCTGGCTCAATGAGCAGGCCAAGAAGATGGAAATCACGCCTCTCAAGTTTGAAGAGATGATGGATAGGTTGGAAAAAGGCAGTGGTCAGCAGGTTGGTGCTGATTACAATTTACATGACAATAGTGACAAATGTTTCTGCCTTTTCATCAATCAGTTGAAAATCTATAATCTCATGTACTTTTGCCATAATGTAGTCTTTATATTTTAAACACTGCTTCCAGTCAAATATTTTTGTAGGGTGACTAGAGTCCAATGTTCAGTTCCATATCTGCAGTTCATGTGTTAAAATTGAACTGAAATGAAAAACCTTCCTAATTCATGTTAGTACAGTTAAACAAATTTCATAGTCTTGCTTCTCTGAGAACGTGCCAATAAATATGCTAAAGAGGAAGAGGCTTAAATTATTAGTTGCAGATTATTGGAGAGGATGCTTTGGTAATGTAAGATATTGTTTTTGTGAATGGCTCTGATAGTGCTTCCTGATCTCATTGCAGGTGGTTACCCTCCAGGAAGCTAAGTTGTTACTGAAAGAAGATGATGATCTTATCATTGCAGTGTATGACTATTGGCTCAATAAACGGTTACGCACAGTGAGTATTGAATTGCATATTTCTGAGGCATTTTTTTGGTTTTAGCAAGAGTATAGTAAATTGTTACAAAATGTAATGATGTAACTACTTTTTTTTACTTCTAAAAAACGACTATGCACTTCACAGACATGAGAATTTTCTGCAGATTTTTGTTTCATTTCGAACATTTTTTAGATCGATGTAAATCTGCAATAAAAGACCCCCAAGACCCCAGGCTAAATTTTCAGTGTTTTTTGTGCTTTGCTGTTCTCATGTCTGACTTCAAGCAACATGATAAAACAATTTTTATCCCCCTCAACACGTTTTGCGGGGGGTATTAAAATGGAGTGCGTCAGTCCATCCGTGCACATTTGTCTTTTCCGGAGCAGAACTCTGAAACTGTTCTATATTTCTTCTCCAAACTTGGCACATACATTGGTCTGGTGGTGTACTGGTGCCTTTTGGTAGTTTTGGAATTCTGAATAAAATATTTTTGGCATTTCCATGGCAACAAGATTGACTAAACTGAAATTAGTGGTAGTGCTCTTTTCCGGAGCAGAACTTTAAAAACCTTTCAATACTCTCCTTCTACTTTTCTATATACACACCTAAATATTTGACATAATCAAAACTCGTACACATAATCATGAAGAGTATTTTGCCATTATGCGGGGGATATTGATGACTTTGTCTTCTTGTTTCTCTGTGTAGGCTTATTGAAACTTCTTTATGATAAGTAACAAAATTTGATGGATTAAATGTTAATCCTTTACAGCAACAGCCATTGATAGCAACTGTGAAGACTGAGAAGCGTGATGGGTCAACCACAAATAACCCATACGTAGCCTTCCGACGGAGAACGGAGAAGATGCAAACGAGAAAGGTACATTCTTACTGTTTTTCCAGGCCTGCATGGAAGTGTACTCAACAAAGCAAAAAATTTGTGTAAATAGTATGTAATCTTTGAATTACAATTACTGAGTTCTTGCCATAATCCTAATGTTTTGCTTTGAAGATCGTTCAGTGAAAGTAATTTTCAAACTGAAGACCTTTTTGTCAGAACCTTGAAATCCACTGATTTATTTCATTTCAGAATCGCAAGAATGATGAAGTCTCATATGAAAAAATGTTGAAACTCAGGAGGGACCTCAGTCGTGCAGTGTGAGTATCATATATATATATATATGATATATAAATATTGTCTAGAATCGCTCACCTTGAAACACCCAAGATTTAACTGTAATAAATGCATGGGTTTTACAAACTCTCAAGATGGAAATCTGCTGTGTTTATTAACACCGGAAGTTGAGGAATCCACTAGCATATTCCTGTGAAAATTGATAATGGGGATACAATTTTTATGGGTCCTCAATAGATGGCAAATGTAGCAGAAGTGTTGATTGAAGTTGATTCTCTTGTACTTTTAGCATATCTAGTGATCAGTTACACTACAGATGATTAGTTTGACTCCATTGTGTTAAGGACATCTATAATCAGGGTCTAGATCAAGGGAGGTAACTCAGACCACACCCAGTAAACCAATCTGTAGGATGTATTAATGTTTAATGTTATTCCCATGGCAACTGTGGAGTGAGGATATTTGTAACCAGAGTGAATCAAACTAGCATAAGAATTATGGAAACTCCATACTTTGTGTCACAATGGAAACAGTTGATTTGCTGAACAGTTTTCAGCTCAAGTACAAAATCACATAAACCACTCATCAACATGGAATTAACTTTAAAACAGCATTTATCTTCATACCAGTCCATTAGTTAAAGTATGAACCACAATTTAACAATGCAAGAAATTTGGTCAAATTTATTACAGCTTTAACATATTGAATGATGCTACAAAAAGTAACTCGCAGAAATCAGCAGTGAAATAGCCAAACGATTCTTAATTATACGATTGCCCAGAATAATTAGTAATGTTTTCTTATCCTGACTCATGCTAATTATGCTTGTCTCCTTTCTCTTGCGAATGATAGTGGAACACTTGAAATCCCTTGAAGTTCCCTTTGAAAAAGGGGATGTAAAATCACTCACCCAGGAGTAGCATCCCTTTCCTCCCTTTGGCACCCAAATGGTCACATGATCGGCCATATTTGTCACACTCTCCTTCTTCGCCCTTGAGGACGGTTGTGAGAGCACCTGAGTCCCTATACGGCACATATCCTTTTATAATATCGGACCTTACATCAAAATTATTGCTGTATTCAGTTTTTAGGATTATATTCTACATTACGGTTTGAAATTTGTTCTAAATTTTCCATTGTTTGACGTGTTTTCTTCATGTTTACAATTGATGAAAACTTGTATTCGTTGTAGGTACCGAGTGTCTGCGGCTGACCCTCATTTATTATGTCCTACTTGCACTGTTTCATGTTCTTTCAGCTCTCGCTGTAAGTATTGTGTAAAATTAAATTCGGTTGAATTCAATAATTACCTTTTTTCCATCCATAGATGTGCTAAGGACTGGGTATGTAGGTATTCACAAGTCATGTCTAAATCGAGTGATTGCGCTGATAACCGTGTGTTAACCACTGCTGCAGATATTCATAATTCTAGTGAATTGCTGAACGTTTCTCACGAGCAGGTCGATGTACCAGGGGTGAACGCCGGAGGCCATAAGAGATCATCGTCTACTTAGCTGACCTCATTGCAGATGAAGAAGACCAAATCTTCATCTTCGCAGAAAAAGAAGGCTACTACCATGAAGACTTCAGCGAAGTCTAAGATCAGCTCTACACAGAAGACGAGGTCTTTCTCAGCCGAGATTGTTCCTCCGGAAGAAGCAGATGTTTATGATGATCCACCCATCCTCATACCTGAAGTCCTATCGTCAGTAAGAAGACAAAGTCTGCTGCTACAGCTACATCGACATTGGTATCAGCGCAGACATTGACAGAAGACCTACTATCAACGCAGACATCGGGTACCAGCAGGGGTGGAAAAATCCCATTGCCAGACGTCCGACTCCAGTGTTTTTTCCTGTCGGGCAAGCAAATTTGTATATCACATTGTACTGGTGTCCAGTTGACTTTCCAATGTTAATTATGTTGTTTATTTAAAAAAATCAACAAGAAAACAGCCCGTATAAGGGAAAATTATCAGGGCAAGTGATTTTACATGTGCCACTGTACCGGAGTACACTAGCAATTTTAAAGTTTTTTCCTCCCCTGTACCAGAGATAGCCCCAGAGAATGGTGCAAAGAAGTCTCCACGCAGGAAGGAATCAAGGCGTTCTCCCGAACCCTACAGACGTTGCAGATATGAATCGTCATCTCCATCAGACTCTGACGCCCATCAAGAGCCTGCGCGAAGGCACTCCTACAGAGGGGAAGCTACGTCCAGGAATCCACCTTCACGAAGGTCTAGAGAATTATCTCAACCCCCCAGGAAGGATTCAAGATCACATGGGATCGATCGCCTGTGCGAAACTCATCTTATAGATCATCCTATAGAGACTCAAGTCGTCGTGCATCCTTAAAGCGAGAGATGTCTAAATCAGGATGAAAGTGAAGGCGTCTTCTCCGATACGGAAATTAACTCCTGGATCGCCAATGGCTTGGACTTATCATCACCTTCTAAGGACACAGATGAGGTGTTTACCTACAAGATGTCCAAAGTTGATTTCGACACACTCACCTTTCCACCGACCAACCCAAGTACCAGACAACCTCAATGCAGCTTTTGATAAAGCCACCAAGTCGCAGAGTCAGCACATCCTGACATTCAACGCCAGGAAATTCCCTCTACATAAGATGGAACCCTTCCTGAAGGCTCCAGAGGTTGATGATGACTATAAGATTATCACCGATTCCTGTCAAAGAACATACAAGATTGATGATAAGAAGTTAGCGCAGCTGGATACAACCACCAGACGTACTTTCTTCGGATTAGCCAGATCGAGGGCTATCAACGAAACACTCATCTCGAAGTTCAAGAATTCCTCGGCCGAAGAAGACCGGATGATATACTCCGCTCTACTTACGAAGAAGAGAGACCATCAATTTATGTCGGAGCACCTAGTATCCACCTCAGCGGGCTTGACTCTCCTGAGAAGACAAGGGTTATTGTCAGCATGCACTTGGAGTGAACGCTTCACCAAGTCTCTATACAGAACCCCATGGTCATCATCTTACATCTTCGGAGGAGGAATTGAAGAAGTCCCCAGAGAAGTCTCTCATGACTCTAGGGAAGTTATGATGATTAAATCCATCATCCATCGACACTTTGGCTAACGTGATTCGTCAGACGTCCCAACGCTACTCCAGCAAATCTAAGTTGCAGGAGTCTAGAGAGCCAGAGAAAAGAAGTATTCCAGTATGAAAGGAGGAAGAGGCTCCTTTTGTCGCCCAACCAGAGCTCCTAGAGGTAACCCCGGAAGAGGCCGAGCACCCAGGGGTGCAAGAGGAATCAAGCATTGAAGGCCAGGTTTGGAACTACTGGAGTCTTCCACCTCCAGCCGTTCCTGTACAACCTTGGACAGTGGGTGGATGTCTTCAACGGTACTGTGGGAATTGGGGAATACTACAGGAGGACTACGTATCCCAGATACTGCGCAGAGGGTACAAGATACAGTTAGAAGCCACTCGCCCGCTCACAAGCAACCCGATGGCCTCCAACTACGCAGCCGACCAGATAGGAAAACTGGACGATTCTATCAAGGCCCTACTCGACAAAGAGGAAGTAGAAGAGTTAGATCAAGATCTCATCACGCCAGGGTTCTACTCCTCAATTTTCCTGGTACCGAAGAAGAATTCCAAGGAGAAATTTCGGCTCATCTACAACATTAGGAAGTTCAGCCGGGAGTATCTACGCAGACCAGCAAAATTCAAGATGATACATCTTCCTCAGCTCCGACATGTCATTTGTCCAGCAGACTACCTCGCCAGCATAGATCTGCAAGATGTGGACCTCCACATCCCAATCCATCCGGAATCAAGGAGATATCTACGATTCCTCTTTAACGGACGTCATTTCCAATGGAAGGTCCTGCCATTTGGAATATCGTCGGCCCCCTGGTTGTTTACTCGAGTGACAAAGCCCATCAGTATATATCTACATTGTCGAGGTCTATGCAGTGCTTTCTACCTGGACAACAGGATTCAAGCTAATCAAGATCCCAGTCAACTCAGACTGCAACTAGATTTCACCATCAGGCTGCTCACTCAACTAGGATGGCTAGTGAATCTCCTCAAGTTGGAACTGGAGTCGAAACAAGATCTGCAATTCCTAGGAATTCAACTCATCACACCAGTGAATCGTATAGTCGTTCCAGAGGATCGTTAGGTCAAAATACAACAGATGATATCTCAAGCATGGCTCTCTCCGTTGACACTATGTGCTTGGCAAAGCATGCTCAGTCTACTCACCTCAGCTCAAGACATGACTCGCAGAGGGAGATTAAAGTTGCGCCCACTGATCGCCCTAGCAACAGCTGCAAGGATGTCAGAAATACATGCTCTAGACTTTGAACGAACACAATTTGAATCAAGACATCGTACATCTGGGACTCAGATGGGATGTTATTGCCAAGAACCAACTGCCCAGCCAGCCTGACAGTTCCACATCCCAGCGCTATCTACAGTCCTTGGGCCACAGGATACACAGGATCTATCCTTATGCCCAGTTAGAGCACTTCAAATCTACTTACAAAGAACTAAAACAAGGAGACGAATATTCAAGCGCCTATTCATCCCCTTATCCACTGAGACGCCCACGGAAGTGGAGTTACAATAGATAACTAATGGAATATTAGTATATCTAAAATCCACACGAAAATGTCAGGTTGTGGTCCCCCCAGACTCATCAGAGAGAGGTTGAAAGAATCTTCAACAGTGCCATCATAAGTTCCCAAGGGGGGTAATACAGGACATAAATCTACAACCAGGGAATCCAGAACGTGGCTTGACCCACCACCGTTTCTGACGGATTCTGCAAGCATAATAAGCATGAGTCAGGATAAGGAAAAATATGTAATTTTCTGACTAAAATTGATATATTATATTTATCCTGACTCATGAGGTTAGCCCTCCCAACCACCTCTCTTATGGTACTCTGGATTTCCCTGTAAATCTGGGTGTTGGGCTTACATACGGAGAGAGTGACAAATATGGCCAATCATGTGACCATTCGGGCGGCAAAAGGAGGAAAGGGACGCTACTCCTGGGTGAGGGATTTTATGTCCGCATGTTTAAAGGGAACTTCAAGGGATTTCAAGTGTTCCACTATCATTCGCAAGAGGAAGGAGACAAGCATAATTAGCATGAGTCAGGATAAGGAAACATTACTAATTATTCTGGGCAATCGTATAATTAAGAATCGTTCGGCTATTTCACTGCTGATTTCTGCGAGTTACTTTTTGTAGCATCATTCAATATGTTAAAGCTGTAATAAATTTGACCATTAGCATGAGTCAGGATAAGTATACAATAGTCAGAAAATTACATTATTGCCCGGAAATGTTTTTAGATGTTTTCTTGTTTGTCTAAGTTGAAAACCATTAAATTTAAAAATGATTGTTGAACCCTGTAAATCTGAACTCGTGGATCAAAGCACTTGTTTACATGCCCTCAGGACACATTTTTTACAGTGATATGCAGCATAAAACATTTCTATTTTTCTAATTTTGCAGTACGTTGCTGGAAGTGATCAAGAGAAGGGAAAAGTCCAAGAAAGAGTTGCTTCAGTTAACAATAGAAGTTTTAGAAAAAAGGTGAGACAGCATGTAGCAGCTTGACCTGTCTAAGAATTTCCTGCTTGTCCTTCCTGGGCCCTGTTGCACCAAGCTATCGTAACGCTAAGTTGATCGTAACTTTCATGCTCCAACATTGGGGCCCTGTTTAGATAAGCATACTTGGAACACTTACTGAACATTTACATTTGTAGTTAGCTATAGTAGAGACAGGAGATTCTGAAATGCAATGATAAACAATTTGTTTGCCTTTTGCTTCTACTAAATGTTGATAGTCTTTGTCAGTTTTGCAAGCTGGCGTGGGTTTTTAGATACCATTTCTTCATGCTTTTAATGTTGTACAGACCTTGAGAACATACGCTGACTTTGTTGAAATGTAGTTTCTTGAGACCTATTAGTTGTGAATATGATTTGCTGCTGTTTGGTAGCGATTGAAACATTTTATCCTTGCTAATATGGCATACCTTTGTGTTGCAGGTACCAAAGTGAAGATTTTGATGGCAAGTTGTTAGCTCATGCTGAAGCTGAGCGACATAAGCATCCGTCTTTCATTCCACCATTTAGTCTCTCAAAGTCTGGGGAGTGGGTCCAGGGGGTGAATGGGGTAAGCATGGAAACATTTGTCATATTTGTATGGGAGTTAAACTTGATGAATTAAGATGTTTTCATCATGCATTCTTGCTAATGATATTTCTTACAACTGATTTGCATAGTAATTATTCGTAATGGAATTGATATGATATACTTTAGCTTACCATATGGTGGCTGCAATAAAGCTGATGCACTTTTAGGGGTTTTTTCTCTGTCTCACTATAGAGATGCTTGCCTTATTTTGTGATACCATTTTTGTTCATTCAAGATAACATGATTGATTTAAAAGAATACTTAGAAATCTAAAATCAAACATACGTTGATTCCATGTGAATTCTTGATAAGTCCAAAGACATAAACGTGAATTGAATTTCTTATTCTATTTATGTTGTTACAGGATATTGCCCCCAAACCCAAGAAGCGAGCATATCGAAAACGGAAACAATCCCAGCAGCAACAGCATCATCACCATCACAACCACCATCATCAAACGTCCAACATTACCTCATCCCACTACAGCGAAGTGGACATCTTGCATCCAGATATAGACAGCTCTGATGATGACGGGCTTTCTCCTGTGAGTTTTCTTATTAAACGTGTATCCTTTGCTGTGTGTCAACGTTTACTTATGTATAGAGGGGAAGGAGAGGCTCAGCGGTGTACAGCACCACTTTTCAATGTGTAGAGTTGCCTCCCTTGGGCACGCCCAAACCAGAAAGTCTTGTTTTTCCCAAAGTGATGAACATCTAAGATCTGCATCATTTTGGGCTTTTCTCCCACATTTCACTGACATGCTCTCATATACCTGGAATCCTTTCAGAATGGTGTAAGTGCTAAGAACTTTGTGAAACGGAGCCCAGTAATGTTGTCTTGTGCTCTTTGCTTAATAAGAGCTAGATTGAAATAAGGCTGATAAGTGTAGGGTAATTGATAGTTTGTCACAGTTGAACTTAATTTCCTGTATGAAACAAGATATTTTTAGATATTCTTACAAGATCTGTCCTTTAATTCCAGGGTATGTCTCCATCAGATCATGAAGATGAAAATGATCCTGATGGTCCATTTGCCTTCAAGAGAAGGAAACATTGTCATTATTTCACTGTAAGTATGTCTCTTTTGCAGTAGACACTCTGTTGGTTTTGTATGCAATCTCATTCTGGAATTGCAAGTGCACAAATCTGTTTTTACGAAGAATGAATTTTCTTCTGGATTCTTATTTTGTGAAAGGATTGTATGGCATGTGAAGATTAATATTTATGAGCCAGAAGAATATCATTCTGTGCTTCCCTTATGTTACTTTTGGTCAGCAGTTCAGCATCATTTACCGGTGTATCCGGGTCATTCAAAGCCGATTCATAGTTGACAGAATAGTAAGGCTGTTGATGGATCAAAAATGTAATTGATCTTTTTAACCATAAGAGCTGCTTGTTCTTAGATATTTGTAGTAAAGAATTGATGAAATTCCTATATTTCTAATAATGTGTATGCTGGATCTTATTGAACTCTTTCTGACTTTCAGCCAATTACATCCACGAAAATCACAATAAAAATTAAATTGAAGTATTGTATTATGGAACAAGGATAATTGATTTCATAATTTAACCCACAAAATCATTATTTTTGCAGCCTCTCATGGGTCGTCAAGGCAACTGGTCCTGGTGTAGTCCTGATGAAGGTGGCCTTGGTGATAAAAAATACAGATATTCTCTCATGTCACTACCTCCTCCAAGAAACTGTGTTGGGTTCTCCAGGCGTCGAGTTGGCAGGGGTGGGCGGTAAGTTGATCAAGTTCAGTTGAAATAAGATTATTAAGTTAGGATAGTTGACAGATGTTTTGTATCAACTGTACACACTGAAATATACTAGCTGTGAATACCTGCAATATTGCTGTAGCGGATTATAGCAATATTTACTTACTTACCCTGAAATAATAAAATCAATCATTCAGAAACTTTTATTAAGAATACTAACACAAAGTTTAGGGTTGAAGGTATGGAAAACGTTGGACTGTGGTAAACAATTGTAATCAAATTTGGGCAAAACATGGCTACTTTAATGGTTTCAAGAACTCTTTATAGTATCATTGCGTATGAATGTTTGCTGCTATTGTTGATTGTTTCACTCCTAAGGGTACTAAGCTTCAGATCAAGTTAGGGCGTTGGGGTTCGATTCCCCACTTGGGTACAATGTGTGGAGCCCATTTCTCTACCCCCCAACATGATATTGCTGGAATATTGCTAAAAGCTGCGTAAAACTAAACTCACTCACTCACTCACTCACTCACATACTCACATACATCCAGTTCTATGTGGTTGAAATAGTCTGAGATAATACGTGAATGATTGATGTTGCTCTTATGATCATTTTGTATTGTCTTTTTATGGTTGTCAGGCAATAGATGTTTTAGAAAAGTTACCAGTCCATGTTGAGTCAGGCTGATGATCGCCAAAGGTTTGAAGGACACAATTTGAGTAGATAAAAACAGACACTGCTGTCTGTTAGCTTTATTGTCTTGTAGTTCTACAATGTTGCATTCCTTTCATATCTAGAGTCATTCTGGATCGAGCTTATACACCCTGGGATGACGGCCTAGACAGACTCGACCTAGGTGATCCCTCACATTCACCTGAAGTGCTCGGTGAATATGTCACATATATACGGGGGAAAAAAATGTAAGTCTCAAAAGGCTTCTTCTTTTTTCATATATTGTTTAACACTTGAACCTTTAAGTCTTGGTAAAATAGCAGTGGTCAAAATTTAAGAGTAAGTATCAAGGGGCCGATATTAAATACTTAATGGTCCCTAGATTCCTTAGTAACAAGTTTTGATGTTTTACATCACTTCTTTTTTGTTTACCCTTTTTCTCTATCTCTGAAGCTGAAATTTAAGTCATGACTTGCTTGCCTGTAGGTATGTGTTATTTGACATTTGCTATCAACTGTACATTTATTTTCAGTCCTCATTTTCGTCCAAAAACTCCGCCCCCTGACAGTGACTCTAGGCATGGTAGTCGGTCACCGTCAAGTACTCCGGTTTCTGTCGAGTTTAACTTTGAGACCTACCAGTCTCATAAAGAACAATTGCTTGAAATGAAACGGGAACAGGAGGAAAAACTGCTTCAACTTGAAGCGTCTGAGATAGACTCTTCTGTGATTCTTGGCCAATCTTTCTCATCACAGCCAACTTCAAGGTTTACATTGGACTCTGCCAGTGCCGAGTTTGCTGTGAGTGCAGTGATGAATTCTTCTCAGCTTCCCAGTGCAAATATTGGTGCTACAACAACAACTACTACTACTACAACTACATCCACTTCTTCATCTTCATCCTCATCGAACAATATAACAACTACCCCATCTGTTTCATTACCCCCCCCGTGTCAACATCACCATCATCATTGTTGTCGGCGTCACTAACTGCACCGCCAATTATTGTGACGACACAGACGACCACAACACCACCAACAGTTGCTGTCACAACAAATGGACCATTGATAGACAGTAAGGAATAGTTAAAGAATGATTGAATACCTTACCATTGATCACAATTTAATAAGGGTTTCGGGGGAACACTTTCTTTGTAAACTGGAGATTCTAGTACTTTCAGGGTCGGGATGGGGTTGATGTCATCCATATAAAGGCTTTCAGAAAGATGGAAGTTAGATAACTGGAAGATTAGGTCAGGTTCTTTTTGTACCCCTCTGATGTGTAAATTGGCATGGCTCCCATTAGCAAAAGCTGTTAATACACATGGTCTTTCAGAAAGAAGTCTAATCTAGCAAATGCTTTTCTCGACATAACACTCTTTTAGTCTAGAAATCCAATTAAACCCCCGACTCAGCTCCCCAGAAGTACTAGAATTACATTTGTTATATTTGACCAATTTCTAAAAGACATTGTGTGTTCAGAACAATCAGTCTCAGTATTACTGACTTCCATGTTAAAATGTTATCTCGTTATTTGACAGAGTTTAGGGGCTTTATTGTCGGAGAGGAACTGAAGTCTGTGAACTCTCAAGTTAGAAACTATCTGACTTCTTATGATTGTTAATTTTGAATGTTTTCTTCAAACTTTAAGCTATTTACATCCATATGTCTGTTCAAAAGGTATGATGGATGTATGAACTAATTTAGTGGAATGTAAGTAAATGTTGGTGTGCGTTGAGGTTGATGCATGTGACATCCTGTGTTCTTTTCATAGGTAAAACAAGTGGACTTTCAACCTCACCAGCAGCTAACATTCTTCAGTTAAACTTCCCTCTCAATGTGTGTTCAGTGACAACGGCAGCAGTTACAACAGCTTTGACAGCAGCTACGTCAGTGAAGGTGTCCTCGGCATCGACGTTCATGAAGCCATCTGTAAACAACAAAGTGATGCCAGCCAACACCAGCACATTCAAGCTGTCAACAACACCGGCCACAGCACTCAATTTGCTCAAGTGAGTTGGATACTACAACTATTACTATATTCAGACTCTGCATAACAGTTTGCCAAAATCACATTAAAAAAGTCATTTACTTCTTGTGTGTGTTCTCTGTGAGGAACTTAACTATAATTCGCTTTTAGACCTTTTCAATAGAACACCAGCTTCTATTCCATTAGTGTGATATTTGGGATGGACAAATACAATTTGGATACATGTTGATCAGCTTCATGGCAACAAATTGCTGCAAGATTTCTGATTTGCAAATTTCAAATCCCTGTCAACCCGTGAAGATCCTGGTTAGAAATGGTCTTCAGCAACCCATACTTGTCATAAAAGGCAACTAACAGGATCGGGTGGTCAGGCTCGCTGACTTGGTTGACACGTGTCATCATATCCAAATTGTGTAGATCACTAGATTGTCTGATCCAGACTCGATTATTTACAGACCGCTGCCATATACCAGACTATTGCTTAGTGCTGCATTAAAGAAAAATCAATCAATCAAATCCATGTCAGTCATGTTCCTAGATTTGTCAGCACCAAGTTGTGGGTTTCACCAAAGTGGGACTGTTCAAAACTCATCCAATCAGAGATTATTGCTTCAAGTCTTTCTAGACCTTGAAATCACTCAATTTAGAAATTCATTATTTTTCATTTATAGACAAAACCATGAAGACCACAATGCTGTGAGCACTTTCAACAAAGACCAAGTTTTGCCAATGGATGTTACTTGATGGTTGGAGAGAGTAGTCTTCTGATTATTTACTCTTCAACAGTGAGCGTGCGCTGGTACTGCCACCTGCGCGTGGCTCACACTCCTGCCCTACCAGTCCGACTCAAGATGGAGTTGGTGTAGTGCCAGACGACGGAACTATTCATTACAACAGCCATGCATACAACCCTGGCTGCAGTGCAACACCACATGTAGAAAAACATGCTTCGGAATGGGCAACACTCATTGTATTGTTTAGAATGTTGTGCATATATTCTTGTACAAGTGATATGGGGACTAACAACAGAAATACTTGTCATGTGTGAAGTGCTTATGATTAAATCTAGATGCTACATGTTACAGCTGTTGTCCAGTTAAACACCCATTATAGTGATGCTGCAATTCTACGGGTAATTCTATGGAATGCGTGTGTGTGACATGTAAATGGAATGTGTAATGTTATTCATCTTCTACATTCTACCTTGTCTCCATGGTCGACTGCTTGACCATTACTTCCCATTGTGTCTCACAAGCAGGGATAAACAGGTTTCTAGTGCTTGACCTTTACTTATGTGTATCACAAGCAGGGAATGGATGGCATCAAGTGTTTGACCATTTACTTCCTAATGTGTATCACAGGCAGGGATAGGCATCAAATGGGTATTGGCAATCGCTTATTCCAATTTGATAAGATACTTGAGAATTTTAGTGTTACAAATAATTGAGTTCTTGTTCGAATCATGTTAGAAAATAAGATTCCTAGAATTCTTGGACAAGGTATGTTGCAATCATGTCAGTACTGAAATGATTGGGCAGATCCTCAAGTTCATATATTTCTTGAAAGACTCAGTTATGTATTGAAAGTACATTATTATTCTTAAAAGCAAACCTTGCCTACAAGAACAGACAAGTACTCCCATTATAGATCATGAAACCCTATGTGCATGGAATCCAGTGTGCCAAAAAAAAATCACTTTAGCATCTGTCATTGACTAAGTTCATCCTGTAGACTGCCCAGTTATTCTTGGAGCTGTCAATGTAGGAAATACAGTTAACTTGTGAGAGAAATTGTCATATCAATTTGAGAAAATGATGCTGTAAGGCTTCACCTAACCAGATCCATTAAGACACACATGGGGGGGATCTGCCACTCAAGGGAGGTAACTATGTTGCCTGTTCCTGTGAAGGGTGGATTTACTTGACAATTTCTTATTTCCCCCCCCCTACATGAACGTGATAGTAACTCTTATTGAAATATGTTTAGTTTGTGCTTAATGATCAATTGTAATGTTATTTTAAGAATATATGCAAGTCAGGCATCAAAATAATTTTTCTCACATGTAAAATGTTTTTTGTCCATTTAGCTATCCACCCAAAGCAGTAGAAAGAAGGTACATATGTAGAAGCACTGTACACACGGGCTTGCAAGTTACATAGGGAGCACAAGAGAAAAATCAAAAGACATCACAATATGATCATTGACAGAAGCTTTCACCATTATCTCTAACAGTTATTAGTGCTTGTGTCGTGCCCATCAGTCATATTGTATGCTCTGATAGTCATCTTAATAAGAATACTTACTAAGTGAACAGTGTGTAAATAGAACTAAACAGAATTTCTATGCATTCATCTGGAACAAATTCTGAAAAGGCAAAATTGGAAATGTCTGAAAACATATGTTTTGCATCTTGACCAAAAAAAAGTTACCATAAGCAGAGTTTGTTTTTGAATGTGATTACTGAAGAAGAATGTGAAATTGTTAGTGATTCTATGAAACTGAGAATGTTGTGATTCTCTGTGTACCAGTTAGTGAGATGTGTGAGAGTTGCCACATACTGTGTGGCAGTTTGAGTGGCATTGTATCAGCAGAGGCACTGGAACGCTGATCTGGAACTCCCAACACACACATCTTTTAACATAACTGTAAATAATTTTAGATTTTAAATAAGGTACTATTTTGCCATCCAGTTAATATTTCCCCCTTTTTTCTCCGAGGGAATAGGAGATTTGAGGTATACTGCAAAAAACAACATCAAAACAATAGTTAAGGACTACCTGTTTCTTTCTCATGGGTTACTGACGACAGATAATCTTTAATAGTGTGAAAGAATCGGGTCATCCTTAACGTTTGTTTAGCAGTATATTTAATATATCATAGCCTGATAAATTTCATATCCTTTCTAATAAAGATATATATGTGCAATGTTAGTAGATGTAAAAAAAATATTTGGAGAATAACAAATGAAATTTTTCTTCAAAGTGAATTACACTTTTTAAAAATTCCCTGCTCTCTATAAACCAGTTCTTTTTGTAGAATCAGGAGGCGCTACAATATACTAAAGTATAGATGCTGAAGTTCTGTATTCTGTTTGTTACACACTTCCTAAGTGGCTTTTTCTTGTTGATGTTATGTAACATAGATGTATGTTGTCAAATGTTGATTTTCTGTTAGATGTGGATATAGATTAGGGAGCACTGAAAATCAAATGCCGAACACAATACTTGCTCTGTGTTGCTCTAAAATATATTTTGGATATTTCAGAGAAAAAAAATGTTCTTGTCTTGAAATGATAGTTTGTTCATATCTCCAATATTTAAAATTGTAAATGTACGGGATGATATGTCAGTGTTGTCCTCAGAATTCCCATTCCTCTTGTGAACTCAGCTGATTGGAATCATGTAACATGTATCACTGTTAAAGAATTGTACAGTCAACTTTGGTTGGACATGGAGAAAAACAAGGTCCAGTTTAACAAACCCAAATCTCATCCCTAAGCATTTTAGACAAAGGATAATGATATATATTTTTTCTCTTTCTTTCTTCTTTTTTTTTTTTTTTATTTTTTTTTTTTTTTTTTATTTATTTATTATTTAACTCTGAAACAGCAGACAGAATCATTAGTTATTTGGTAATAAATGTATCAAGAGTTGACTGTATGTCGAGGAATTATTGAATTTTACTTTCAGAAATGCAAACTAACTCATGTTATTGTAAAGCTCATTTAGCAGTAATTTCTTGTTGGCATGGAGCTTAAGACTGCCAACACATTTGACATACAAACTGCTGTAGGTCCACATTCCATGTAGATATTTAAGTTGTTAACCATCTTATTTTCAGCGTTCCAATACCTTGCAAACCTAGTCAAATCTCAAGTCATATGTAATTGCTATTCTGATATCTTCATAGTCCTAATTTTTGCAGCAAATTCATGGTTAATTTTTTGGTGGTTAAAAATCCATAAATTTGAAAGCTTGTAATACCTTATTAACTGTTCAGATATCATGGATATAAGGTTGTCAGCAACCAACAAAAGCAAAGATAACTTGAATCTATTTTGTTTTGTTTTTTGTTTTTTGGTCTTCAAAATTGTTTAAACAAATGTTAAGACAGAAAATTGTCAGTGGCTTTGCATCTGGATACAAATCTGGCTGTGGTCATTTTGAGTCCATAATGCCACAGGCTGACTTGAGGTTTGGCTTGTACTTCTGTAAGCTAGCCGGACAGACTGTTTGACGGAGAACTTGCTGAATGTAGAATGACGATTTCCTTCAAAGCACGGCTGGGTTAGAGATTGAGCAATGATCTGTGATATTGGGGGTGTGAGTGTATGCACACCAGGTTTTCATGAGAATAATAAACATTTGTACAGAGTCGAGAAACAAATCCTTGTTTGTTGTCTTTATATTTCAAGGGATGAAATTAGAATCTCTGCAAGAGAACACTGAAGGAGGTTGAAAAGGTAATGACATCCCTTTTGCGAATCACTCCATGTGATAGACATTGTATTTGACAAACATGAAAAAGTCACTATGTATAAGTGTCTACCACAAAATCTATAACATTTGCTCCCTAATAACCTTTTCAAGAATGTGCCGAAGCCGATTTGAGGTGTTCCCAGCCGTGATATTGCTGGAATATTGCTTAAATACGGCATAAAACCATATTCATTTCAAGTCATTCCATATTTCTTGCTATGGACAGGTTTCTTGAGCTTTTCTCCTACAAATTTTATGATGAAAGTATAAAATATTTTTCCTTCACTGAGTTCACTGTAACTGACTGTCCGTGATGTGGGGCATTCGCTCAATATGACCTAGACGTGAAGGTCTTTGGAATCTTGAAACCATAACAACCCTATGTAATACTTGCCAAATGCAGAGCTGTATTGGCCATCAAAGCGACTGTTTGGGCACATTGTGCGTTGTTGGTATTGGCCAAAAGGCACTGTATGACAGGGTCAACTTGTGCTTTATTTGTAGTAATCAATTGGGACGATCAGCAATATACTCGTAGATAGTGTGCATCTATCACTGTGTAGTATCTGGCGATATGAAATCAATGCATTGATCAGTGACCTGGGTTCGTGTTCAATGAGGGACCTGTGAAGATCCGGGTTAGGAATGGTCCTCTGCAATCCATGCTTGTTGGGGATGTGTATTGCCCCAAATTTCGTATTGCGGTACACTCTTCTGTATTGCGATACGTATTGCGATATATTGTTGAAGAACAGCTATTGAGATCTGTCCATTTTTCAATATTCTTTTACCTTCAAATTGAATTACAGTATATTCGAGTAACCCTTGTTCAAAGCAAGAAAAAGGAAAACCCAGAACATTATTCTGTTTATATTTTTTTTATTTTAAAACAGTAGGAATCGACACTCACTAAACATTTTAACTAGTCCTCCGGGCTAGTGGATTTTGTATGTCATTTAGTCCTCTCCAAATATTACTAGCCCTACACTTTACTATAAAAAACTTTCAATAAGTCTTTGTTTTAATGGTAACTGCTGTCCAAGGGAAAGTTAACACAGATAAATGTATGATTTCTTATTTCACATAGATACTAGCCACATAAAGAAACTGTGCATTGTCAAAATATTATCCCAGTTGATAAGTACGATAACAATGTCAAAGGTACATATAAACTTTAATGGGGGGATCATGAGACCATAACAAGTCGGGAGAATTTCAATTGAAAAGTCAATCACAATGACGTCACGAGTCCACAAGCGGGACAGGGGTCAAACGACCATGTCACAAGCTCAGTAACGGGTATGTCCACCATCAGCATTGAGAACAGCAGTGCATCGACGACACATAGAGCCTATCAAACGTGCAAGGAAAGCTTGTGGGATGTCACGCCAGATTCTCTCAAGTTCTGTTGCAAGGTCAAGGACGTTATCTGGCGGATGAGGAAGACGGCGTAGACATCGATCCATCTCGTCCCAAACATGCTCTATCGGGGAGAGATCCGGTGAATTTGCAGGCCAAGGCAGTAAGTCAACGTTGTGATGTTGCAAGAAATCCATAGCAACCCTTGCCGTATGAGGGCGGGCATTTTCCTGTTGGAATGTTAACCTAGGGCCATGACGTTGCAGAAAAGGAATTGCCACAGGTCGAAGAATCTGATCCCTGTAGCCCACACCAGTTAAGTTGCCCTGAACAATCACCAAAGGAGTTCTTTGGCGTGCTGTTATTCCACCCCAAATCATCACGGAACCACCACCAAAGCGATTCCTCTCCAAGACACAGGCCTGTGCATAACGTTCTCCCACGCGTCTATAGACACGTTGACGTCCATCACTATGGGAAATATTAAACCTGGACTCATCTATAAAAACAACATTTCTCCACCAAAACAAGGGTCTGCGGACATGATTTCGGCACCACATTCGGCGAGCTTGTCGATGACGCTGTGTCAGGATAGGCCGTGTGGCGGGGCGTCGTGGTCAGATCCCGTTATGACGTAAACGTTGTCGAACTGTGTTGGGATGGATACGGCGAAGTCCTGGGATGGTTCGGGCAGTCATCACTGCAGTCTGAAACCTGTGGCGAAGATGGGTCACCCTTATCCATCTGTTCTGTCTTGGCGTTGTTACACGTGGACGTCCCAAACGTGGCCGATCGATGACGTCATTTGTGTTCTGGTAGCGTCTCACCAGTGCAGAAATGGTGTTCCGGTGGCAGTGGAAATGTGCAGCCACTTGTCGTTGAGACATTCCCCCACGGACCATCCCAATGGCCTCATGACGTTGTGCAGACGTGAGTCTTGGCATGCTATGCGTTTCAATAGCCGTGTAATTTTTTGAACGATCGCAAGGGCAGGGGTTGAGCTTTCCAAAGTGACAGTATTGTGTGGCACTAATTTGCTCTGGTTCTCTTTCCCGGAATGCACGTGCAACAACGTATTGCACGTCTCCAGGACGAACCCACTGACGTCACGGAACGTGGCACGTGCATGCATGTTGGATACATGTCACTAATCTCTGAGTTTAAATCCTTATGTGTCTACACAGGTTTGATAAATTTAGATTTTAAATTTTTGTATGCACAGTTTCTTTATGTGCCTAGTATATAACAAAATACTAGCTTACGCCATGTCCTTCATCAACCCACCCATCCTATATTTATTTATATACTTTAAACAGCACAGGATGTTAAATTTCAAATAATTGAAAGAGCCTCAGCTACTGTGCACATCTGTATTACTCAAGAAAAAATTAATTGAAGTCACAATCATGTGACATGATCTTGACGTGAACATTCTAATCAAAACAATGATTTATGCACCTATGTCTTTGAATAAAAGTATTATTAACATTACCTAATTCATGCATGACGTATGGTACACTTTCTCATAAAGAAATGATTTAACAAAGCACTCACTGTGGGCAAAAGACTCTCTGTATTATAAAGTAAACTTTCTTTAGACTGAATAGAATAATGGAAAAAAACAACATGAGAAACATAGCCTTATAATAAGATAGAAGCCTACGTTTGTCAAGGAAAATATCAGCTCGTGAAACATTATTGCTACTACAATAATTTAGGTCTAATCCAACTGTTAATAAATCTCAAAGGTTAACCTATTATTCAAGTAATACTTAAATAAGTTTAATTTTAACAAAAATGCAAGCTTACACACTTATAATGTCCAGACATACCACGAAGGAGACGAAAACTCCCGCTATTTTAATCCATTTGTAAGATGTCATAATATCCTCTTAACTATTTCTTTTAGATTTTCATTTATACGTAATCAGAAAATTATTATAAAAAGATTAATTAAATAATAAGCATCGTCGCCTATTTCCCGATAGCGGTGGCTTTTCGCCCAGTAACACGACACAACATTGGGAAATGCCTCTGATTTCGAAGCTCCGTATAAATATCACTCGAGAAGATTCATGTGATGGCGGGTATCGTTCGAAAGCGACCTGTGACAAATATTCTTTATGCAATTTGTTTCACATTAAACATCGTGTCCGAGCATGAAGATCGAGGCGATGAAAAGCCGAGATGTCACTTGACTTGCATAACATGATCGCACACAGAAATATGGAAACAGTAAATAAGATGTACGTTTGACAACTTTTATGAAATCTGTAGATTTTATTCATTAGTTTATTCAATTTTAATGATTTCCTCGAAACATCGATACTTTGTTCTTTGACAATCTTTAAGTGGACCCGTTGCCAATCATTTGGAAAGACTTTCGCCCAATCCCCACCCACAACCACCATATTACCTGAATATACATATATATCTTTTTCATCACAATTAACATTCAGGGAGTATACGGGCGGAAGTCTTACCTGCAGTGTTGAATGGATTGAAATTGAACAAATATATCTTTGTCGGTATACCGGTACATCATAAACGTATCGCGATACGTAATTGTTACAATGTCGTATTGCGGTTTACCGGTAATGAATGAATGAATGAATGAATGAATGAATGAATCTCTATATTTCTGGATTGTAGTCCGAAGATCATTATAAACATGTACATGAAATATTTACAGCAACATAATCACAGCAATATATTCACAACACATTCATATAGTCATATATACATGTACAAAGAAAAATGAAAGGTCTAGAATGCACAGTTTAGTGAGGGAAGCAAGGAATATAGGTATTTACAGAAGAGGACAATCATACATCTCCATGACATTTCATCAATATCGTTAGTTACTAGTAGTTCACCCCCAGAAAATAGTGATAACATTTCATCTTCAGATAATAAATTATATTTGTACATAAACATCCACATCAAAAGATCTATAAGTTTTGAAAAGAAATTATTTCTGTTGTACATATAGTGTTCACAGTGTAGAATTACATGGCAGTCATAATCATTACAATATCTTTTGCAGAGTTCACAATGTTTTGAGAATTATTTACAGACAATCCGTCATATAGCTGGAATATTTCTAACAGACATGACCGATGTGCTGAAGGAGCGCAGCAGTTTTATTTATTTATTTTTTTATTATTATTATTTATTTAAAAAAAATTTTTTTTTGGGGGTCCTTGACCGACCGACCCATGTTCAGAATTTGGTGGCTACGTGAACCACATAAAAAGATGATGCCCTGACCTGTGTTGCCTGTTTGCCAGTCATATGTTGTTTCCTTCCCTTCATGGGCCTGCTCGGTGATCTGGTTGATGAAGCGTCTGTCAGGGGAGCGGGAGGTCGATGTTCGGTCCCAGGCTGCTGCATCATATCAAACGACATCAACAGGTAGTACCACAGTGTCACGCTTAGAAACAGCGTTAGAAAGACATATAGGTATATACACCCTACCCTAGTACTATATAGTACTATATGCCTATATGTATACCTATAAAGACATTATAGGTATATACACCCTACCCT